TCTAACACACAAGTTATTGTCGAAATAAAAACTCAACCAAGTTACTTGTACTTTTAAACTGTAAAACGTGTGCTTGTTAGTACTTAGTTTTGATGCCAAAGTTCTTGTTGTAGAAGAAATTAGTTCCGTAAAAGTAAGGAAGCAAATAAATAACTTTTAGCTCAACTTTGATTTCGATAACCTAGACAAAATTTATCAGATAACTTACTAAAATCACATGTTAAAACATTTATAGAAAAATTCCTCCACTTCACAACCAACACACATTACATACAAAACAATTAAACACTTAAAAGCGTACAGCCAATATTAACGACTCGTGTCATTTTACTTACTTTACACCGCAATTTTCTTGACAATACTCCATAAAGACAAAGGCTTCAGAAATCTTCCAGACAAGTCAGTAGTCAGTATTGTGTCATTTTTTAGTCCACCAAGTGTACAATGTTATAGAGACTGACAACCGTAAAGAACATTTGCACGTACATCGCATTGTATGTTACTAAAGGAACATGCTTCTTTAACGTACGTGTTTTGTTTGCAAATGTCTCTACAGATAATTAATGCAATTATGCATAATGAATTGTTTGTTCTAATTATGGGGTATGTAAGTTGCATTTGCAGTAATACGACTACAATATTGTAGTGTTTACAAAGGGGTATGACATTTTGTGCTTTACGTAAACATCGTTTAAGTCCACAAATGTGTATTCTTGCTGGAAAGTATGGGCCAAAACTAACATCCCGGAGGCGCTGCAGTATCGGGGTAGTCTCGACATCATCCTGAACACTATATAGGACGCGCATCTAAACCGCCCGAGTACAGACCTTGACAATGCGCTTTGAAGAGCGTGAGCGGGCAAGCCTGCGGGCCAGCATATTTCTTTGACGATCGACACGTGTGATCAACCAAAACGAGTAAATGGTAAGCAACAAACAATCGACATTGTATGTTTTGTCGATCGACACTGTGGAATTTAAATTACGCGTAAATTTGTTAAATTTCAACCTGTATATTTATCTGAAATGATAACGATCGTAAAAAATTGAGCAAATCTACATTTAACTAATTGAAAGCTGTCCGTCTTATTTACAATAACATTTAGCAATGTACTGTATTCAGCTGTGTGCCACGTTAAATATAAGTATTTTGGTTTGTGTCACTATAAAAACACCGATATGTTTACTTTTTTCTACAGAATTCATGGAACGAGGTTGACATAAACATCATCAAGTCCACATCAAGAGCTCAATATGTGCATTCCTAAACAGAAAATAAGTTGCCTTGATAATTTTGCCTAAAGCCAGTCATGGCAGTTTGTTAGGAACGTGACGAGACGTGATCAATATACAGGGTTATTTTTAAAGTAGACGTGATCAATATACAGGGTTATTTTTAAAGTACTTATTCCGTAACTTTTGACAAAAGCTTTTTTTTCTCATAGCTTCCCTAGTGCCTGTGTCGCAGGTGCCATGGATACACATATAGACAACCACAAATTACACCCAAACTCACGAGAGAAATAAATGTAGGCAATACAAATATTTCTCCCGGCCCGGAAATCGAATCCAGGTCCTCTGCGTGGCAGACCATCACGGTAACCGTTCGGCCACCGAGGCAGTTAATAGTTAATAAATATACCAATAATAAACTTTTAAGTATTTTTTGTACCACCTGACACTTTTGAGATCTATATTTGGTAGTAAGGTAAGTAAGCTCAAACTTTCAAGCATCCTTTCTGACGTCTCACGCGTCTTGCACAGAGTTATCAACGTTTACAGCGATGGATTGAAATATTTTTATTTTTGAACAAAAATGTATTTATTACTAACATAATAAACAACAATTTTTGTTCCATGGCTTTACGAGTTTGTTACTACCTATTTTGCAAATAACCCAGTATAGATAAGCATTTAAAATTAACCGAAACACAATGTAGAAACGAAAATAAGTAACGTTCTGTACAATCAACAATTTTAATTCTACAAATGTCGAAGAAACGTCACAATGAGGAAATTACACCGAGATCTCATTTTGGGCAAACTGTCAACCGCCACATTCTACTTTTATACTTATTGTTGTCCCATACAAGTACACGATCCTTATCATCTGAATCGACAATAGCGGCCCTCCGTAGTATTGACAGAATAATGAGGAACCGGGAAAAACTTCTGTAGCGGAATGAAAAGCGCAAATTCGTCATTAGGCAGCGCTTTCCGCCATTGTTATACCTTTCTCTCTCACACAACACGAAAGTATATTAGGCAAGAGCGAGACCGTTGTTGGTCCTTCGAGCCGGATTGTTCCTTTCTGTTCTTGCGACATTGTTTTCGCTTTTATATTCAGCTGAATCGGGATTGTCTTGTCTATTTGAATGGACGGTGGCGCCCCTCCACGGTATCAATATAGGCTGGCATAAAAGGAGGGGACAAAGGGTTGGTCTCTTGAATCAGGGAGACAGGTCGTTCGATTATATTGTATCGATTGAATGGCATTGTTCGAGCAATGAGCGATGGTTAGAGCAAATTACTTTTCTGTTTATGCTGGTGTAATAGTGGCATAAGACAGTGACGGGTTTTGTTGCGATTGTTTTATTCACTTATTGCATTAAAAGTGTATTCGTTAGTCGGAGTAACAAATAAATTAGGGTAAAGCCGGGATAGATGCCGCAATGGGATAGGTGCCTCGTTTTCATAAAACCTAACTTCCCCAAATTGCAACAAAGAATAATTAGTTTAAATAAGGAGTATAGATACCACTCATCAAAGTTCCGTCAAGGCTTCGTGTGGAATAGACGCGTTTGGCTTGTGCATGCGTTTATCTCCGCGACGAACACGACAAACGGTTCAAAATTTCAGACGCAAGTATTTATTGTCGCATAACTTTGTAAGTTAGAATAAATTCCGTTTTTTTATTGTAACTATACACTGGTTCATTAACTGCGCACCTAGGTGTTAATGATAGCTCTTTTGTATATAGCTTAGTTACATACCGAAGGGGCATCTATCCATGTCGAATAGGACAGTCGCCTCGATTTTTCGCGGTATAGGTACAAAGGACAAAACAAGAAAGTTAGGAAAAGAAAATAAAAAATACATTATTTTAGTAAAAAGACAAGTAAATGATAATAGTTTAAAAGTATATTATACATATATTAAGATACGAAGTGAAGTAGGTAGTAACTTTAAATACGTATATTTATTATTAAAGATATAACATGTATATACAATATAATAAAGAGTACAAATAAAACCTTCAATTACGAATTTTATTATTTTATTCTAAATTTTCATCGTGTGGCGTCTATCCATATAGGTGGCATCTATCCTCAAAAAAATTGGTTTACGAAAAGTTATTTTCTTCAAAATCAGTAAATGTTAGATCAATAAAATCAAGTCTTAATGTAATGTAAAAGATTAAACTAGTTATATCCATAGGAATTATTCACGGTAATCTAATAATTTTTAAATTGGGAGGGCCTTTCAAAAAGTGGGGCATCTAACCCGGTTTTACCCTAACTTCAAAGATGTAGATGGACGCATCTTATAGAATTTCAACTTACTACTGCTAAATAGTAATATTTTAGTAGCAAGAGAGCTCCTTGTGAAAGAGTTCGTACGGAGAAGTACTGCCACCTTACCTATTTCTGCCGCCAAGCAGTAATGTTAACATTACTGTGTTCCGGTTTTGAACGGTAAGGGTGCTGGTGAAATTACACATGGGACTTGTCTACTTATGGCTTATGGTGACGGGAGCAGTGGCAGTGCGATCTTTGCGATTTAAAGCTTTGCGTGGCACTGCAACTGTTTATTGAACATATTTTTTTCATTTCAACGCATTTTCTGTTCAGCACTAGGTACATATGTTAATATTCGCACGTGGAAACCACTAATCGAAAATCTCGTGTTATGCAAATTTAAACTTATTTTCAGATACTATAGTAGCCATTTCCAAAAAGTTTACTTTTTCGTTTAGTGATTGTATTGGTTACAAACGTCAGATGTATTAAAAGGTATGAAACGATTACGGGAGGTTGTTCAGTTCTGAAAGCTAAAATTACCATCCATGCAAAATTTATTATAGCTAAAAAACATCTAACAAACTCAAAGAATATGTATTGCGTCCTCGTCCAGTTGGATGGACTCAACTGAGCTAAAGATCAAGTCAGTAGATCTTATGAATTTCTCTGTGTACGATCTTTATACAGTGTTCTAAAATGCTTTTGCCTCACCAACAGTGAGAAACCTGTGAGAAATTTATGAAAATTTATTCAATCCATTCAGATCGAATGATTTTTCTTTGCTTGTATGTTGTTGGTTAGTGCGGAAAAGGACGACATAACGAAGGCATTCTAGAACAGCGGTCTATCCCAAAATCATCTAATTAATCAGGAAGATGGTTTCTAAACGCCAGCATATATAAAATCGGCGCGATATCGTCACGCGATTGTTCTAACCCATAAAAAGTACAGCGTCCTTTTCAACATACAAATCAGCATATTCTGAATGCAGTCGTGTAATAAGACATTTTAAGGTAGATCTTTGCATAAATTAAATTAAATGAAAACATTACATTTAATTTAGGCAAATGCCTTGCTTCCCTTCGTCAAGTCATCGCGATTTGACGTTGCTACATAATATATGTAATGTCACGCTATGGTCTCGACTGCCTGTCGGTTAAAACAATTACTTTCATTTTAGATCATGTAATAATGTACTAGACAATCACACCAATTGCCTGATCTGAAACTAGGAAATTCCCTTTATTGCGATTACCGGAAGCAACGGAGTTCACTCCGGGGCACTATCCAGAACACCCAGACCAGAGCCAATTCAGAATAGTTAATTTCCCAAATTGGTCCTACCGGGAATTGAAACCGGTACCTCTTAATCCTGGGGGCGTTGCCCAGTGAAAACTGTGGGCCACCGAGGATGTCTCGATAGACGTGTAGCAATTCTAAAACCTATGAAGTTGATATAAATAATTGTTCATTCCACAGGTGCAGAATGGAAACTTTTGACAGAAGACGAGAAGCGGCCATTCATCGACGAAGCAAAGCGACTTCGTGCGATGCACATGAAGGAACACCCAGACTACAAGTACCGACCGAGAAGAAAACCCAAGACTTTGAGGAAGGAAGGTTATCCGTACTCAATACCGTACCCCAGTGTACCTATGGATGCTTTGAGAGCTGGTAAGTACTTATCTAATTCTTACAAGTCTGGTCTTAATCCGGCAATCTTAGAAGGAGTTGCAACTAGGCTATATATAGGCTATTCATCGTTTGAAATAACCGGTAAAATGGAACGTGAGTGGGCGATTTATGAACATTTTTCAAACTTTTTAAGACCTAAAAAGCATACAATTAATTCCCGGTGTATATTTTAATTTATTATGTCTTAAAGACAGAATCCCGAACAGTGTAGTAAGAGAGCATTGTGGTATGAAAGATGATGAAGTGACCAGGATAGAGAGAGGGATGCTTTGATGGTTTGGTCATGTAGAAAAAATGAATGTTGGTAGAATGACGGCACAAATTTATAAAGCGAATGTGGATGGAGGCATGTGGAGAGGTAGACCACAGCGTACGATAATGTACGCTGTGGTCTGATTAATCAGATTGGGGATGCCCTTAAAAAAGGTTGGGTTAAAGTACCAAGAATAAACGTGCATGTAGACTGATGGGAGTGGAGGAGGCGAAGGAGATTTATCAGGAGCGTAGGAGACAGGCGTGATGATTTGTAATGTATTCATTTACATAAACTTGTGCAGTGGTAAAACAGATGGGCCTTAATTGGCCTTATAAGCTTACTTTCTAAGTTACATAAATTTGTGAATGTTTAGTCAAAAGACCTCTCACACAAAACATCGTGATGCAACCGGTACGTCGAGAAAGGTTCACAAACCTTGGAAAACGTCGGAGGTACCCACTCAGCAGCAGTAGAGCTGCTTGTGATAGAGTTCGTCCAGGGAAGTACTGCCACCTTATCTATTTTGCCGCCAAACAGTAATGTCTGTATTACTGTGTTCCGGTTTTGAAGGGAAATTGTGCTGGTGAAATTACAGGCGCATGGGACTTGTCAACTTATGTCTCAGGGCAACGGGCGTAGTGGCAGTGTCTCTCAGATCTTTGCGTTTTAAAACTCTAAGTGGCACTGCAACTGTTATGGACAGGCGTGTAGCTTACCATCAGGCGCACGACTTTTTCTCCTCTCCTTTGAGGAGACCCGTGCACAGAATATTAATCAGCAATTATAGCCACGTTGACGCAACAAACGCTGGTTGGAGTCCACTCCGATCGAAAGCGTTTTTTTTTTTTGTATTTGTTTAATTCTTTGTATCAATAATTATGTTCCTGAGATCTTCATTCATTTTAAATCATTACGCTATATTTAGGATGTTGCGTGTGTGACGTGTTTGTATTATAGAGTTACCAAACGCCTCTATAAACTTTAAGTTCTCTAAGTTTCTACCGTTGTATGGAGTATCCAGGTTGTAGTACCGCTTAGATGTTGATGCGCTGCCCGTCGTAATGTCTGCTAGTTAGAAAATGAGCTCGTCACAAAGAATTTTTTATTGCACGCGTCGCTAATTCTGAAATTGTTCGTCCTACTGCTACAATTGTCACAAGGCCCATTATTTACATTCGTACAGTTTGCAAGCCGGTCATTTTATATAATAAAACTTTTATTGGAGCTTGTAACCTTTTGTGAAGAGAAACAAAATTGTTGCCTGCTTTTAGTGTATTGCAATTTTTTAAGTGTAGTGTTATTATGACTATAGTTACGTCGAAAGTGATATAATCTTCCAGTTAAGTGTTGGGGTCATTATATGATGTAATCTCGCCCGCTACCTTCCGTTACCGATCAACCAGGCGCGGATTTGGTCTTTACACTGTAGTTGTTTCACCAATCAGGTCGAAACGTTTCATTACTACATTTATGCAAATAGTGGTAGTGTGAGACTCTTTTCCGCTTTCTGTATGTCCGTAGGTATTATTTAGATCAGAAAAAACTGCGTGGACATCCACCACTTACGTCTACAGTTTTAGTGTATATTACGTCCAATCCAAAAATTGTCGTAGCAGTGGAGCTCCTTGTGAATAAGTTCGTCCAGGGAAGTACTGCCACCTCACTATATCTGCCATGTAAAGGTGCAGGTGAAATTACAAGTACATGAATGAGCTTGCTAATTTGTCACAGGGTGACGGGCGCAGTGGCAGTGCGCCTCAGATCTTTGCGATTTAAAGCTCTGAGTGGCACTGCAACTGCAACTGCTGTGGACAGGCGTGTCGCTTCACACCAGGCGTACGATTTGTTCGTTCCGTCACTTGGTGTATAATGAAAATAGATTGTGAACGAATGATCAATCACTGAAGTGATTTCAAGGCAATAATAACTAAATAAATAAAATAAAATAGGAAATCTCATCATTGGCATCACAATTACATACACACAATACATTATCACGATCTCGATAGCCTAATGATTTAGATTACGGGCGCGGGATGCGGAAGTACCGGGTTCGATTCCCAGTAGGAACAGTTTAGGAAATGGATTTTTCTAAATTGGTACTGGTCCTGTCTGTTCTGGGAAGTGCCTCAGAATTCCGTGGCTTTGGTACTCATAGCACAGGTAATTTGGTGTGATTGTCTGGCACATCTACGACTTTTTTAAATTCGAATTTCGACATGAGTCGACTTCAAATCATTGCACCCGCCATATTGTGCATCGAGATCCTTAGACGTTTCCAATTTTCTACGCTATTTAGAAATTTATAAAGCTGTATGTATGGCAGGAGACAGCAATATCCAATTCCCGTTACATAAATCCTTCGAATCCAAATGTTTCTGTACAAACAGGGCTCCATACAAAACATAACAATGGCGCGCGTTATCATCGGATAACCTATTCATTCGATGTCATCCGATCCCTGCACGAATATTGGGATTACACAATTGTTGAGCCTCGTTTGGACCTATCGAGTACTAGTAGTCAGTCAAGCCAGTATTGTTGCTCGAGACACTTCTACCTGTAGTCAAGACAAACCCATAGTATTTACACAATACTGGAGGCGTTACGGGTTATTTAAAGTTTTTTTTTAAATAATACTACATATTATTGTGTAGGTTTTAGCCAGCACAAAATAGGAATGGGCAGGTCATATACAAGGGTGCTTGAGTGGAGATTCAGCCAAGGGGCACAGGAGCAGGAGGCAGATAACGGATGCTCAGGACTGATCACCATGTCAAAGCGGCGAAGAAATATTTAATAAGGTCTACAGACATAAGACCGGAAGGAGTGGCGTTCATTGGAAGAGAGCTATACTCAGCATTAGTGGACAAAGGTTGAAAAAAAAAAGAAAGATAAATAGATCCCGATAGATTGATGGTCATGACCATCGGCGTAAGGTGCTCGCTGATTGTATCCCAAGGTACGCCAGACGTACAGGAACGGAGTCGTGAGGGTAGTCTCCTTTCGTACACCCTAAGAAGAAAAAAGAAGATTGTTGTATTTTATAGTACTGTCACATACCGTAGGTACTATCGACACTATCAGTGTTTTCATCGACAGTGAAACTATTGATAGTGCGGCAACATAGATAGACCAAAAGCGTCGATAAAAAATAGTAAATAATTATGGTTATGTAGTCATTCGATTTCTTTACGAATATTGGAATAAAACACTTACTGAGCATTGTTTGAATGGGTGCAGTGTTCATTGCTAGTCATCCAGTCGTTTAGTTAGTAGAGCTAAAGTCATAATATACTTTTTCGGTTGCAATCAATGATGAAGAAAACATGGATTAAAATAGGTTGACGTAAGTGCAAAGGTAAAGTAAGTGCTATATTGTGAAATAAGTAATGTGCGTAGACACAATATATATTGAATTTGGTAAAAAGCACATATGGTAACCGAGTACAAGTGAAACACGTTTCAAAAAATTATGTTTTGGTCATGTTGATTTACAAGCTATTGTAATGTTTTGGGAAATTTTAGAATTACTCTTTCATAAAATTCCTGTCTTTATTTAGAAAATACATCTCTGTGCCTTTTGATAGTCCCTTTGGAAGTCGTGTTTACTCAAAAAATAATTAAAAAATTTTGTAAAAACCGAAACAAGTGAAAATCTGAAAGGGCTATGCCAAGCAAATACCGTGAATCCCAACCTAACTGCATTAGTTTTTGACCGCTTTTTAATTATATATGGACTTTGGCATTATCATTATGAAGTAGGACACCTTTACGATTAATAAGTTCTGGGCATTTTTCATGAATAAAAATTTGTAATGAATTATATGAATGAATTAAAACGAAAACTTTCCCGCCTATTCGTAAAACGCGCGCTAAAATAATATTTTAGAATACATAGACAAAAATAAAATAAGTTCTTTTATTGTTTAAAGTTAGCTAGTGGCAAACGCACGGTCTTTTTTAATCAACTTTGCTACAGCAAATTCAATTTTTATTTTATCTCTATCGTAATTTGCTACCTAACCTAACTATTAAGTAACTTGACCAATCTAAACGAAGCACGTAGGTCAGTCGCCTCGCGACAAAAAGTCCGTCCACTGTCACGATTTTTTATCGTGACTCCAAAACTAAGATTGAGCCAAACGCAACTTTTGTGACCATTGGTTAGAAAAACATTTTCTATAATAAAACTGTTATGACAATAACTATATTGTGTACAGATGGCTTAATACCATTTTGGTATAGGATTGCTAAAGCGGTATTGCGATGGTTATAATTTTTCTACAACGGAATAAAGATAATAAATTGCTGTATAATCTTTCAAAAAGTGCTTAAAGGGCTGTATACAAAATGATGTTCAGTGCTTGATCTTTGTTCGGAAGTTTTGCACAGCTCAATTATGACGTCACAAATAAATTGTAGAATTCCATTATGTGCGATAATGAGACGTAATGTCGTCATAATAATGCAGAAGCACTATACAATAAAATAATATAACAATAAAATCAACTTTCCGGCCTGTTAATTAATGCACAGAACTAAACCACTCAGATTTAGCACAACGAGATTTCCAACAATACAATTACATTTTCTATAACATGGCGCTAACAAGATTGAACACAGCACTTAATTAAATTTTTTAGTAACTGTCAACATCGGAAGCATAGGATCAAAATTATTACATCTATACACATCAAACTCTAAAGCTGCATACATATTA